CCCTTGAAGGGACCGGGGTCCACGCCAGTGACTCGGTGGAGACGGCCCAGAGGGAGATCGGCTTCTGGTTCCAGCAGGACGAGCTGGTGGCCTGGGAGAGCGGAGACCAGGACTACACCTACGGGCCCTAGGGCAGCCCCGGGCAGGGGAGGACCCCCGGCCCCAAAATAAACCCCAGTGCCTCCAGCCCTGGCTGCGGTCTCCTCCCTCAGATGCCACCAGCAAGCACTGGGAAGCTCTGGGAGGCACTGGGAAGCTCTGGGAGGCACTGGGAAGCTCTGGGGCTGTACATGGAAGCTCTGGGAGGCACAGGGCTGCCCCTGACAGGCACTGGGGTGGCACTGGGAAGCCCTGGGCGGCACTGGGCAGCTCTGGGCGGTACTGGGCAGCACTGGGAAGCTCTGGGCAGTACTGGGAAGCTCTGGGCGGTACTGGGCAGCACTGGGAAGCTCTGGGCAGTACTGGGAAGCTCTGGGCGGTACTGGGCAGCACTGGGAAGCTCTGGGCAGTACTGGGAAGCTCTGGGCGGTACTGGGCAGCACTGGGAAGCTCTGGGCAGTACTGGGAAGCTCTGGGCGGTACTGGGCAGCACTGGGAAGCTCTGGGCAGTACTGGGAAGCTCTGGGCGGTACTGGGCAGCACTGGGAAGCTCTGGGCAGTACTGGGAAGCTCTGGGCGGTACTGGGCAGCACTGGGAAGCTCTGGGCAGTACTGGGAAGCTCTGGGCGGTACTGGGCAGCACTGGGAAGCTCTGGGCAGTACTGGGAAGCTCTGGGCGGTACTGGGCAGCACTGGGAAGCTCTGGGCAGTACTGGGAAGCTCTGGGCGGTACTGGGCAGCACTGGGAAGCTCTGGGCAGTACTGGGAAGCTCTGGGCGGTACTGGGCAGCACTGGGAAGCTCTGGGCAGTACTGGGAAGCTCTGGGCGGTACTGGGCAGCACTGGGAAGCTCTGGGCAGTACTGGGAAGCTCTGGGCGGTACTGGGCAGCACTGGGAAGCTCTGGGCAGTACTGGGAAGCTCTGGGCGGTACTGGGCAGCACTGGGAAGCTCTGGGCAGTACTGGGAAGCTCTGGGCGGTACTGGGCAGCACTGGGAAGCTCTGGGCAGTACTGGGAAGCTCTGGGCGGTACTGGGCAGCACTGGGAAGCTCTGGGCAGTACTGGGAAGCTCTGGGCGGTACTGGGCAGCACTGGGAAGCTCTGGGCAGTACTGGGAAGCTCTGGGCGGCACTGGGAAGCTCTGGGAGGCACTGGGCAGCTCTGGGTGGTGCTGGGCAGCTCTGGGCAGTACTGGGAAGCTCTGTGCGGTACTGGGCGGCTCTGGGTGGTACTGGGCGGCTCTGGGCGGTACTGGGAAGCTCTGGGAGGCACTGGAAAGCTCTGGGTGGTACTGGGAAGCTCTGGGCGGCACTGGGCGGCTCTGGGCAGTACTGGGAAGCTCTGGGCGGCACTGGGAGGCTCTGGGAGGCACTGGGAAGCTCTGGGTGGTACTGGGAGGCTCTGGGCGGTACTGGGAAGCTCTGGGAGGCACTGGAAAGCTCTGGGTGGTACTGGGAAGCTCTGGGCGGCACTGGGCGGCTCTGGGCAGTAGGGAGGCACTGGGCAGCTCTGAGTGGCACTGGGCTATCCCTGGCGGGCACTAGGGCGGCACTGGGAAGCTCTGGGCAGTACTGGGAGGCTCTGGGAGGCACTGGGTGGTACTGGGCGGCTCTGGGCTATCCCTGGCGGGCAGTGGGGCGGCACTGGGAAGCTCTGGGCAGTACTGGGAAGCTCTGGGAGGCACTGGGCAGCTCTGGGTGGCACTGGGCTATCCCTGGCGGGCACTGGGGCGGCACTGGGAAGCTCTGGGAGGCACTGGGCAGCTCTGGGAGGCACTGGGAAGCTCTGGGCGGCACTGGGCAGCTCTGGGCAGGACCAGGGA